GCAATGCAGTCTTTCATATCATGACTTAATTGGCTGTGCAATTAACTCTTATAAAACAAACCAGGGGTGGTAAGAAAAGGAAGTCCTTGGTTGATTGAAAAGCTACATTGCATTGCAGAAATTAAGAAACAGGAAAGGATAAAAGAAACGTGTTCTAAGATTTGAAAGCCTTGGGCAAAGGGAGGGCATGCAGCAGTGTGTAGGAAGGAATCAGCTCAGTGTGGAATTGCACAGTGCTTTAGAGACCAAGCCAGAAAGCATTTAGTACTGATGGAAGAACATACACAACCAATTAGGTGATTCAGGAAATGAGGAGAATTATAGCGTAACAGGAGAAACCTTGAGATTTTCATGGGAGTGTCTTTTATACATAAGAAACTGCTTTGTTTCCTTAGGCAAATTTTTCTGGTTGAACACAAATACCTGGCAATAATTCTGCATTTACACATTGGTAACTGAACATACTATTGCAGTCTAATGTGAGAAATAGTCAGATTAAGTTCGTCCTGTTATTTTCTAAACATCTGCAATCCCTTTTGCTTAGCTTTCACTACTGGAGCAGGCAGCTTTTAGGTGCCTTACTGCGAGAGAAACTTGTTTTCGCATATCAGGGATGGGGCTTTGCAGTATTAAGGCTTTGCAATATTTGGGCTGGGGCTACATTACTAAAGGAACAAAACAAAGGGCTTGAAATACCATGACTTAAACAGGCACACTCTGTAGTTAAAGACAATGTCATCTTTGGGCGACAGACACACTCTGTGGTTAAAAAGAATGCTATCATCTCTGTACAACCTATGAAAGTAAGCTGGTGCAAACTGGTTCTGTAGTTAAACAGTCAGTTGAGATACCACATGTCTGCCAGAGAGTTATGAAACTGAACCATAAAAGGAGACAAATAAGAGGAAGGGGTGTACGAAATCGAGTGAGGGAAGATGTAAACAGAAGTGGGACAGTTAGCATGTAGATTATATGTGCTGGATAGGCTGTAAACCTTGGAGTACCCAACCAATGAAGAAACAAGGGAGGGAACAGGGTAGGAAATACAAATCAAAGTTCTGCCTTTGCTGTGTGTGCCTACTTGCCAGGACACCCGTTTTTGCAAAAACATGAATAAATGGCTGCTTCGCTGTTTTATCTAGAGACCATTTCTCACACTTACTATCTTTATCTTCATCTACATGCTTTACCATCTTTAGGACATTTTTAACAGTAGAAAATAAACTATGACTTTGGAAAATTGAAAGCTTTGAATGCTCTGACAACAAAATTATGCCCTCATCACATTAAATATTCACAGCTTACTTTTTTGAAGCCTCTTTATACTTCTGGTTTAGTTCTTTCAGCAGTAAAGAAAGTTTTGGTTTAAGGAATCGCTAACATCCTCCAGCACCCATGTTTGTCTGACTATGGCTGTCCCACTGCTTTCCCATCAGAACGCCTTGTCACCAGAGTCCACACCAGTACCATTTTGTTGTCTAGATTTGCTCCATCAATTTTCAAAAATCCAAGTTAGGTCAAAAGAAAAAAAGCTTCGTAAGATGTGCAGCTTTATTCATTAACTGTACTGACGGCTGGTGACACACCTATTGGCTGCCCCGCTTCATCCATGAGGTGTCCACGCGCCGCTATTTCCACGCGCCGCTTTTATATTCTTTTTATGATTGGGCCTAGGTGTTTGTGTTAGCTATTATATCCATTCTCTGCTGTTCTTGTACTTATGTCTACCCTCTGTCCAGTACTGTATTACCACTCCCCCGATTTGTTCCTTCCTCCACAAGGAGAGGCTGCTCAAATTACTTCCCCTTTTCTCTCTGCTTCAGTTAAAAGTTCCTTGTGCTAACACTACTGCTAGACATGGTATCACCAAGACTCCATGAATACCTCCAGTGGGAAAATATCCCAACAAACTCCTTATAGCAACAGACATACTGATCTTCACTGTTTTGTCATACCTTTCCTTTTCTGGAACTAAAATTCCAGTGAATTCCCCAGACCTCTTCTTCTGTGTTATGTCAGGCAACATTTTCTTAGCAAGAATCTAGTGTATCATTAGTTTCAACACAAAGGGTGACCCAATTCCTACTACAGTATCCTTATTACCTGCAATGCTGCTTGTCCTTTGCTGAATCCAGTACTACTTCTTCTTAGGACAATGTCATTTCATTTGCTGTAGCATTTCTTTTTGTTTCACTTATTGCAAGGTTTATAACGAACATGCTTCTGTTACTATCACTTGGACCTACTTACAGCACCTACACCTTGCATTCTCCTATTTACACTGACAAACAGGAAATGGAAAATTCCTTTCTGTTCATGAAAGGAAAACCAGACACTGTCACATCAGTCTATTTCAACCATCAGCACTCACTTCAGATGCATTTAAGATTCACAGTGACTGTGGATCTGTGACACCTGCAATGGACTACCAAATAATTACTCTGGCCTGCAGCCTGCTCCTTGTGTTGTCACCTTTTTCCCAGCATTTCCAGTAGTTTTGGCATCATGGCCACTTCCAGGTCCATGATGCTGGTGTTTAAACTATGACAGTTGTACACCAGGTTACTTACATTTCTGGGGAGGGACATGTGCCGTGGTACCTGTAACCAGAACTGACTCCTAATCCCCAGTCCTAGACCAAACTGAGGAGGTCTGGGGAAAAATCAATTATATATTTTCTTTCTGTGATAGCATAACCCACAGCTATGCTGCGTTTTTTTTCCAAGAATTCATCAGACTCCAGCCATTTGCCAACAATTGTCTCTTTAGCCCTAGCTTTTGGCCTTCTCCTTGAAAATTCAGCACTCTCTTCTGTCACACCTAAACATGTGCAATGCATCTTTTCTGACAATATAAGAACTCAAATTACGGCCTTTATTAACTGTGGAAAAGACAGCATAGCCCTCTTCACAAAAATTGAGTCATGGAGCATATGGACATACAGTGCAATTGTAAAGCCTCTAAGCTACGCATACTATTGGTTTCATCTGCTTGACCATTTCTGCTACTGGTAAAAAATTTAGCCTCACACTCTGCCTATATGGTTTGCTGATTGACAGGGTATCTGTTCTTATTTGAGAGCAATCAGGCTATACATAGAATTCCCTGGAAAAGCCAACTATTCTCTTTCAAGACCACTAAAAGACAGGGAGCTTTTTTCTCTGGACCACATCATTGTGCAGGGCTTAAGTAATATTTCAAATAACTTAACACTGGTAATTTACATACTTTTAATTTTCCTTGGAGCCATTCCCTTAATACAAGCCAAATATCCAGAACTGATACAGTCAATGAGATTTTATAACTGGGTTATCAGTATGTGAGGGAAGTTTAACATAATTCTGGAAACAAAACAAAAACAACAAAAAAAAAAAAAATCAGAATCAAGGATTAGTTCTGCTAACTGCAATTTCTTTCTGAAAATGTTTTAACACAGAGACTCACTACAAACATGTTGACATTCCCAGCAATTGCCTGCATTCTTGAAAGAATGCATAGTTAATAGATATTGATAGGAAATAAAGATAACTTCCAGTCATTCCTGCTACATGCTTAGACTCAAAGTTTTGTACTAGAACAAGAAATAAAATCTGTGAAAACTTTAAAATGAAGCCACTGAAATGGTAAAAAGCTCAAGTATTCACTCAGTTTATGTGACCGCATGATACTATTACATTTTGGTTAATAGTATTTCCTGAAATACAATAATCAGAAAAGTGATAGACATAAGGGAAAAGACAGTTCTCTAGGAATTAAAAACCCCCAGCCACTAAGGGGACTTTTGTACCTCTGAAAACTGAGGAGAAAATTCTCATTTTACTTTTTTATTCAACACAAACCTTGCTTACTTAATTTGTCAGCATTCTGTTATAACTTCTATTGGCATTAAAACAGAAACTCTTGTGAAGCAGCTGGAATGACACAAGGTCTCCAAGGATTTGTCTGTACAAGAAAGTTACAAGCACAACAGTCCCAATATTGCTGACAAACCAGCTCCCCAGAGGCAGCATTTTGATTTCTCATTTGCTGTCTCAACAGAAAAAGCTTAAGTGGGAAGAAAAGGCACTCGTTCCAAAATAGATATTCATACAAAGAACTAGTAAGTGTGCCTATTCTTGTAAAATAGCTATTAAGAGTTGGTTTAACAGGTATAAAACAAATACATAAATTATGCTGCCTTAGAAGAAAAAGATGGAGATGTTGTTACTGTAAAGCTTCTTAGTAATCAGAGCAGACAGGGGCGCTGTATTTCATGAGATATGAAATACAGCATATTATAGGAATGCATATTATACATGACCATAAAAAGTCCCTGCTCTTTTATTAAATAAAGTCCATGCCATAGAGAAACCAGCAAAATAATTTTTTCCCTCTTGTAAAATAGGCGGCCTGCTAACACAAAACAACCATCCCCTTTTCTTATGAAACCACTTGCATTTTCATTTATAATAGGGTTCTGTGACTTGTCAACACTTTTCCCAACATATGGATTACATCACTTATCTGTTCAGAACATTGTTTTATGAAGGCTGAATATTCTGGCCCAGTCTTCACTTGATGCAGTGCCCTATGCAATATTCGGGACTACATCTGAATATTCTGGCCCAGTCATCACCTGAATCACTGGCTCACACTACTCAGTATCTGAGAGGATGTGTTCCAAGACATGCATTTTCAATTATTTCTTCATGTTCAATAGTTACATACTTCTTACACGTTCAATGTATTAACCATATTTTGCTTTTGAACGTCACCGTTTTCTCTTCAGCCCTTAATGTCTTCTGCCCTGTCTCTTCATTCAGGTTCCTTTCATCAGCTTTGGAAGAATCACTGGGTCAATTTCTTTCTCATTAAATAATTACCTCACTATTTCAATAGCATGTAGTTTTAGAGTAAACGTAATAGTATTCACTAGTGAAAGATGACATTAGTTTGACAGTTAATTACAACTCTCAGGCGATCCTTTAAAAATAAGGTAATAAAAACATCAGCAAAACTCCTTCAATAAAAAATAATTACAAAACATTTTACTCTTGTTTTCAATTATGACACTATCATCAAAGCTGTAGAAGAAAATGGACCAGCTGGTTGTCACTTGCAGTATCTATCCGATTTCACTTTTGCTCTCCTGTATGGGAAAAAGTAATGAAACATGATTTAGGTTAAGACTAAATATGATTACACCAAGGTGTTTTAGCTGCCTCACAGCATTAAGCATTAAAAGCAATTTTTCTTAAACTTTACTTCAGTAAAGCACATATAAAGCCTAACAATACTTTCGATTTGTTAATTTTGTTTTTTTAAGGAGCTAGAATTGCAGTGTCTAAAGTTAACCTTGTCTTTCCCTTCAAATCATCACAAATTGCATTCTCTCCACCCTGAGGAATGGAATTCAGATTCCTTGTGATTTAAAACTAACACTCAACCTCTGATGTCCCGGGAGTCTTCTCCCAACACTTGCAATCATCAGAATAGTCTTCTGCATTCCACCACAGCTGAATTAATGCGAGTATTTCTGCTATATATTGATACAAAATGTTTTAAAAATCCAAGACAGTTTCTATACTCAGCTCATGTGGGGAAAAAGATTATTCCTACTAGATTGCATGAAGAGTATTCTTAATAAATCCTGTTTCTCTTTAAAATGCAGCTTTCCACTCTCCAAAATGCTTGGTGCCATAGATATTGAAAATGTTAAAATAGCTTGATTTTGTGGTTAAAAAAATGTATCCCTCGACTCTCCTGTACTAAACTGAACAGCCTACTTAAAGCTTTCTGAAACAATTAATTTCTGGGTAAATCCAAACCTATAAACTTCAGTTTAAGAAGTGAAAACGCAGACCACAAAAAGAAGCCAACCCCTGAACTCAGGCCGATCACTGACCCAAGAGGAAATGCTTAACACCCCACCGCATGAAATGTAGCTCTCTTTTGTACCCTTGGTTTACTATAATTCCATCTCTGAGTAGTTTTTAAATCACATTATTTCTTGTACTCCAAAGTACCTGTCAAGCAGCATTTCATGAAAAGTGCCTTCTTTCCTGGCTTTTCTAAGGGCTTTTGTATCTTCTTTGCTTATTTTAAGCTTTTTGTCTTGAAAACTTTGGAATTTCCTTCTGTAAGGGGAGAAAAAAAAAAAGTAAGAGTGTAACTGCTTTATTGAAAACATTAAAGAAACAGCTGTGATAAGAATCTTAACTTCTATTACACAGTGGACAACTGGCTTAATAAAACCAAGCAAATCATTACAGTACCAAATACTAAGACTTCTGTAGATGAAGATATTCAGGGTTTTGTTGGTTTTTCTTTTTCCCGTCTAAATGGGAGTAAGCCTTACACAATTAGCATGATGTGGTTACAAGTTCTAAAGTGCTCCTTCTTCAACTACTAACATGGTAAGTCAGGGAAGGAAAGTGTATTGGGTGTAGGTGGCAAGGTGCTGGTAGTGGTGAGCTTCAAGGGTGGTCCCTGTCTGTGTGAAAGGGCCAGGGCCTGCCCTGTGCTGGAGCCACTGCAGGATGTAGATGAGTCCATCAGCAAAGCTGGTGGCACCTCTGTGAAAATGTATTTAAGAAAAGGCAAAATGCCACACAGGCAGAGGAAGACAGATAAAACCAGAAGTTTGAGATGGCAGTGTGAATATCAAGGACTGAGAAGGAGAGTGAGGGAAGTACTTTAGGCAGTGGAGTGAATATTCCCTTTCAGCCCATGGAGAAGACCATGCCTGAACAGGAGAAAAGTGGGACAGGAAAGGAGTGGCAGAGAGAAGGTTTCATATATGGACCCATACCCTAATCCTGCTTGGGGAAGCAGGTGGAGTAGTCTGGAGTGAAGCTGAGACTGGGAAGTGGGTGAAGGACAGCTGGTGGTTTTAATTTTTGTCTTTGTTTCTCATTACCCAAATCTACTTTAATGGGAAATAAATTTAAACAGTTTTCTACAAATTGAGTCTATTTTGCCTGTGACAGTATCTGGTAAGCAATCTCCCCATCTTTATCTCAACCCACAAGCTTTCTCATCCTGTTTTCTTCCCTTGTCCTGCTGAGGAGAAAGAGAGTGAAAAGTTGTGTGGGAGCCTGGCCCTTCCAAAGACAGCCCCAAAGAGAAGTGCAAAAAAAAAGTACTTGAACCTGCTCTGAACTACATACACATAATTGATTTCACACTGTTTAACGTTTCCTTTGTCTTCATGTGGAAGATCATCTTTCTTCTCAGCTTCTCTTTCAGCACAAGTACGAATCTAGTCATTGAGAGAAAAACAAAACAGAAAAAACAGAAAATGCCTCTGTTTTTAAAACCAGAAGTTCCAGGTAAAGACAACAACATATCCTTAGTAATAGAATGAAAGTTCACAGCTTTCAAATTGGTTAATTCGCAACAAGAAACAACTGCAATAAAAGCAAAAGCTCCCTCCTGAGAAATATTAAATGTGATCCTCAAAGCTACTGTAAAATCTGACTGCCTTCATTTCGGAGAAGCACTATTACAGTTCTTAGTTTTAGCAGGGGTAAAATGCTTTTTTCAGAGACCAATTTAAAAGTATTATTGCTCTCACAGACACCTACCTGTAACTGAAGGAACACATATTTTCCATGTCAAGATAAAGTCTATATAGTCTTTTTACATTCTCCTACTTAAAACATCTCCCCTTCTGCATATCATGGTAAACCTTCTCTGTCCCTGCTACAGTCATAATTTATCTCTTCCATACCAAAAAGTTATTTCAGAACTATCTGGACTATCACACAGACTGTCCTGCCCCTCCCTTCTTCTTGCCCTTCTGTAGTGGTAATGTATCTTCCTTCCTCTATTGGAAGTACCTCGGTTTATGTAGCTCCACAGCTCATTTACCTTTCTTGTAACCAAAGCACCTGACAGCTTATAGAAAGCTATTATAACTGTATTAACAGCAATTTGCAGCACACAGACACCTGCTTGTTTGAATATCTGTGCCAATTGCAAAGTAATTGTGGAAGTTACAGATTACCTTGATCATTTCTTCTTCCCCTGCAGTTTTGCTTTTGGCTTCTATGTCTCCCTCTTCATTGCATCTAATAAAACGGCTGTTTGCTGCTAGTAATGCCATTTTCTTCTGCAGATATAATATCACATATTGTTCGTATAAAGAGTTTGCATATAATCCATTATTCATAACATTTATTCTCTACAATATACCAAATAATTATGCAAATGCATTTTATTCTTTTATGAATGGACATGTTAATAGCTAGTCAGTGGACATACTGGATCCTTTTAAGATGCTTATAGCTGTCCAAAAATGCATTAACGTGAAGTATTCTAAGAGCTTCCAATTACAGAAATGCATTGCAGCTGGGAAACCAGACGTTTAAATGTTACAATATAAAAGAGACTGCAAAAGGCTTTTACTTGACAGGCAAAGAACATCAATATAGATTAATTTAAAATACAGTCAAAAGCTAAGAAAGTCAAATGAACTGTTCCAAACAGCTTACATCTTGGAAGACAGGTTCCCACTGCTCTCTTGACCCTATCGCATCTGCACGTCCAATGACAAGTCCATCTGAATTTATACCAAGGTATTTGCCATAACCAGACTTCAGAGCAATCCTCAAAGAGAAAATGCAAATAACTTTTAATTCAAGCAATTCACAATATCTAACACATCACAAACATTTTTTACTAGACAATGTATTTCAAGAGAATATAAAAATATTTATTCACAGGAGAAACAAAGATAACAAGTATCAAAGATGGTAACATTGGTTCAGTAATTACCTTGTATCAGACAACTTTACTGCTGTAAACTGTTCGGGAGGACTAGGGCCTTCATCATCTGAGGAATAAATTTTCCATTAGTTAAGTATGAAGCATCAAACATACAGTATTTTAGCCTGTTAATACTGCAGCTTCAAAAAGAATTAAACATGGCCATTGCCAAGTACTATGGAAAGCTGCAATATTTTATTTCTTTAAAAATTCCTTTTCTGAATATTTACTTTATGAAAGTAATGCAGTTGCTCATTTAATGTATTTAGAGTGCTTACAGCAAGACAAAATAAAGACAGTCCTTGTATAAAGTAATTTACACTTGAGAATGTTTCAGAATTCTCCAGGTGGCTTTGAAAACCTTCATGTATTTGTAATGATATTTTTTCCACAACAAAATGTACTAAGGTTCAGATATGATAACACAACTCGGTATCCTAAAAGCTACTGGCCTCTCCATCCCTCAAAACCAAAAGGAGAGAATACTGCCATCATTGCTTTGATCTCACACTGGAGGTAAAACACAGCTCAGTGTTCTGGGGCACTCCTTGTCTGACTGAGGGCTCTTAAATTCAAAGTAAGGACAAGCTAATTATTTGACCACATTATTAACCCACTTGTGCAGCAACAAAACAAATATATTAAGATGAGGATGCAGCAATAAGCCTTGAAACTCATCTGCCTCGAGTTCCACTCCTGAAATGACACCATAAAGATTTTATAGGACTTAATAAAAGTTATACTGCCTTTTATCCAGTAAGCAGTATGGCCTTTAAAAGGTGATCATCTCCAACGCAGTTCAATTTATCGTACACATAAACCAGCAAGAAACTAGATCAGTGAAACCAACAGTCATTAGGTTTAAGTCATCTGCATGCTATGGCTAGGTTTATTGCATTATTTGTAGTAAGCCTCTTTAGCTGTAAAACTACTTGCCTCTAAGTCAAGCTCATTTTACGCTCTTGTGCCTTTCATTACTAAAACTACTTATTTCCAAATTTCCTGTAGCAAACCTTTATGTGGTGCTCCAAGAGTAAACAAGCCATTGTCGAGGGCATGGATGTAAGCTCCTTTATCCATTTCTATAGCTATCGTTCCCGTAATTTCACCAAAATTACGGACAGCCCACCAGTTTCCTAAAATACAAAGAGAGTTAATAGGGTAATTACAACTTCTGATTACAGCAGTTACAGATGGTATTTCTAGGAGTGTCTTCTTTGAGATTTGAAATTGCAGAGATACAACTGCTATTGCCATCTCAAGATCTTTGTGAATTATTTTATAGCACAGAGCAAACTTAACAGTATTGCTGCTGAGCTGGGATGTCTTGCTGCTCCAGCCACCCTGTCATCCCTAGTTACAGGCTCCTGCACTTTAACCCTTTGTGTTAGTCCATACAGCAAGCTGATCCATTCATCAGCAAATATACACCTTGCGAGGAAGGTATTTTGTGTTTTCTTTTTCCTCTGGACCATTTTAGGGGCCATATCCAATTACTAGCTTCTCCAATAGAAACAGAAAAACTGGCTCATCTTGCTGTTAAAATACTTCAGGTGAGCTCTAACCTTAAGCTTAGGTTATTCAAGCCAATCTGTGTTTGAATTTTTGAGCCCCACAGAATTCTACCAACATTACAGGTATCCCTACCCACATGTATGACTTAAAATTATGACATTTGTAGCTGTTACACAGTAAAATTTTCTCCTGGCATACCGTTTTACAAATACTTCCTACCTAATTAAGATAATAACTAATTTTAATTAATCTGAACATATCTTTTTTACACATGGTGAATTTGGCAGGTTATTCTGCCTTCAGCTGAAATAATCTTCCCCGTCTTTATATAACATATAGTTATTTGTCTTGTCCTATACATCCTGAACATTCCACTCATGCATATAGAATTAGATTCAATGCATCATCCAAGAAACAAGCCTCCCCAAGACTCTTTTCCTTTTGAAAGAAGGTTGAGTGAACTAACGAATGCAGTCAGAAAGTAACTAGTGGCAGAGTAAGCACAGAAAGCACAGGAAATCCCATCTTTAATTTTCAAAGTGATAGTAACAGAAGATGTAAGTCGTTTACATAGAAATGCCCTCACTAGATAACTGCATTACAGTCCTAAAAAGTTTCTCCTCCTGAAGCACATACTATTGGAGAGAAAATAGGAAAGAAAAAAAAAAAATCCAAGCTGAGAAACAGCTTAAGATGCTATAAGAACATGCTTCAGCTAAAAAGCTAAGTGGAAGATCCATCCCATTCTTGTCAGAAGGTCCATCTGGAGTCTAGGAAAACCCCAACATGCAAATAGCATGTTTTGAGGCAGTCACAAATCTCTACAGAAGCTACATTTCCTTTGCAAAGCCCTGTAACAACCTCTTAGGCTTCGCCATCCCCTAGTTTCCACACTGTCACGTAATTCTGGAAAGCAGCTCACCAACAATATCAAGTTGCTCTGCCGCATCCTCTTCCCTTTTCCTTTTCTTCTCTTTGTGCTTTTTCTTGCTGCACAGAGAGATGTAAAGAAGTAAGAACGTGCCTCTGACCTGTCCCTTCCCCGGCAAGCCGCACCGAAGCGGGTCACTGACACTAGGCGGGAGCAAGGGGCTCACAGTCCCTGCCCAGGCGCAGCCGAAGGGACTGCACAGCACAGCCAGGCCCCACCCTTAACCAGTCTCCGACGGCCCCCGCCGCAGCGGGGGAGCCCGGCCGCGCCTCCCGGTCCGAGCGCCTGCCGCAGCGGGAAGCCGGGGGCAGAAGGTGCCGGCGGAGAACCCACTCCTCACCTCTTCTCTTTCGCCCCTTTGAGGACGAGCTTGGTGGATTTAACGCACGAATATTCCGCCATGTCCGACTACGGCAAGCGCAAAACGACACATCAGGGTGCGCGCCGACGGAAGCCGCGGAGTGACAAACCTTCCCTCCCGCCCGCCCGCGTCCTCCTGCATTCCGCACATGCGCATACTGCCCTCCTGTGGGACTAGTGCGTGGTCAGCGCTGTGTCGTGGGACGTAAGGGTCGCAGGACGCGCATTTTGCGGGGGGAGTAAAGAAAAGTTTAATTTCACGTTTAAAAGCGTGTTCCCCGGCACCTCTCCCTTGTACAAGTGTGGCTCGGTGCCACCGGTTGTCCTGGCGCTAAGGAGTGAAGAGTTTACAGCTTCCTGTCCGGTGTGTGGTAGCAACCTGTTCACGTGTTGTATTCAAAAGCTTATTGACGAATGCACCGCAGAGCCCTTGGCCCTGTGCCCTCTACCAGGGCCAGCAGGCCGTGCCCGAGTGTCTCTGTGGCAAGCAAGGGTGATGTGACTTGGGGCTGTGCTGGTGCAGGAGCAGAAGCTTCAAGGTAAGCTTGTGAAGACAGTTCATAGAATCACAGAATAGTTAGGGTCGGAAAGGACCTTAAGATCATCAAGTTCCAACCTCCTGCATGGTCAGGGACACCTTGCACTACACCATGTCACCCAGGACTCCATCCTGGCCTTGAACACCTCCGGGCATGGAGCATTGGGGAAATTGGGTGGAGATTGGGGAAATAAAAGCTTGTAAGGCAACCAGCTACACCAAACTAGGGGAAAAAATGAGGTTTATGGTATTTTTTCCCCATTTTATTAGCTGCTTGGTATTCCACAGAGTAAAATCTACCTCAGGCTTTTCCCTAGGGGCATAACCATCCTTTTCTCACACAGTTAACTTACTACTTTCTCAACAGGTGTCTGTATCATTGGGGAATGACATTGATAGCACATATGTGATTAAGCTTCCCATTAGAGCAGTAATTTGTGTTTAGTCTTCCTAATCCATTGTTTCTGCTTTACACTAATGGAAAGGGGTTTGTGCCCAGAGGTTGTCTGCTGATTATATTAGCTGGTCAAGTGAAATATATCATCCTTGTCAAATCTTGTCTAATAGGTACACATACAGAGATGCTTGCATTGGATTGCTTCCTTTTGGTTTCCGATTTCATTACCTGTCTATGCTTGCAAGTTCTCAGCACCTCTGTTGTGGTTTAAACCTAGCTAGACAGCTCATTCACTCACTCCCCCCTCTTCTTGCCCTCCCCCTACTCCCGGAGGGATGGGAAGGAGAATCAAAAGAATGCAACTTCCGCAGGTTGAGATAAGAACAGTCCAGTAACCAAGGTATAACACAAATCACTAATGCTACCACCAGTAATAATAATGATAAAGGAAATAACAAGGGAAGAAGCCGACTGATAATTCGCCCCCCCCCCCCCAGCCTGACCAATACCTCGTCCAACCCTGCAGTCCGAGCCCTTCCAGGTAACTCTCAGTTACATCCCGGGCATGACATGCTGTGGTATGGAATACCTCTTTGGCTAGCTTGGGTCAGGTGTCCTGTCTCTGCTTCCTCCTGGCTTCCCCTCCTCCCCTGGCAGAGCATGAGGCTCACAAAGTCCTTGGCCAGACCAAAACATCCTTGTTCTCAGCTCTGTTCCAAGGCCGAAAGTTAAAACACGGCACTGCACCAGCTACCAAGAAGGAGAAAAATGACTGCTACTGCTGAACCCAGGACAACCTCAGAGGTACCTTCTACAAGTTAGAAATGTCAGTTTCGTACATGGTTATGTCAAGGCCTTTAAAAATCACTGCAGTCATGGCCAAGCAATAAAGCTTTGTATGTGTAGTGTCCCAGTGAATGACCCTGGAGTTTGTGAATGCAGGTGGCTTCCACAGATAGTTTGATTGAATCTAGGATCCCGCCCCTTCTCTCCAAAATGCTTTCAATTTCTAGCTCCATGTCTAACATGACTAACCCCGTGTTTTTACCTGTGAAAGCTGGAGTTGTTATACCTGCCAGGTAAAATGAAAGCAACAGTTACGGACTTCCAGGAGTTTTCAGCGAGGCCCCCATTTTGGAGCTTTGGGGAAGAGGCAGTTGGGAAGAATCAAGGGCTTGTCAGCAAAAGCAATACTTGAATGAAATTTGATGCAATGTGTAAATCCAGAATACTTTTTTTGGTGTCTGTGGTGTGCTACTTTCCTGTTAGTGTCTACTTCTGTTGCAGTTTGTCAGTGGAAGAAGTCATCTCACATTGATTGGTGTTCGGGAAGTGGACAGCTTGAAGCAGTGTGTTGCTGTAGCAGGCAGTATGTGACTTTATTGGTTTATTGAACCTATATCTTGCAATTAGTTTTTCCAGTAACAGCTAAAAAACTAGGCAGTACAGGAAGCTGCAGGCACTGATGGACAGCTTGCTGGTCACTTCTGGTCTCTGCATAAAGCTGTAGTCAGGGAAGTATTGTGTTAGCAAAGTCTTGTATACAGTCCGGTTGTGAAGGTCCTGCAGATCTTATTGTATGTGAAGGACCAGAGAACCAGATTTCCAAATACGTGACTGAGATACCTAGCTCGATTACTAGCAATCCATTAGTTGATTTCAGCCTCATCCTCAAGTACATTGTTTTCTCACATTTCTAGAGGTTGTTGCCTGAATTCTAGAGATCTTGTGGTACGACTTAGAATTTTACAGCCACTATTATAATGGTTGATCCTTAATTTGCTTCCTTGGTTTTGGTGGTAGATACAATGTCTTTTTCACTGTTAAATCATTTTAGAATCACAGAATGGTTTGGGTAGGAAGGGACCTTAAAGATCATCTAGTTTCAATCCCCCTGCCATGGCAGGGACAACTTCCATTAAACCAGGTTGCTCCAAGCCCAGTCCAGCCTGGCCTTAAACACTGCCTGGGATAGGGCAGCCACAGCTTCTTTGGACAATCAGTTATGGTGTCTCACCACCTTCACAGTAAAGAGCCTCTTCCTAAGATCTAATCTAAATCTACTCTCTTTTAGTTTAAAGCCATTTCCCCTTGTCATATCACTACATGCCCTTGTAAAAAGCCTCTCTCCAGATTTATTGGAGGCCCTCTTTAGGTATTGGTCTCCTGAGAGCCTTCTCTTCTCCAGGCTGAACAAGCCCAGCTCTTTCAGCCTGTCTTCATAAGAGAGGTGGGAGTTATGTTTCCCCTTTACCAGTCAGTGAGAACTTCACTGGACTGCCACAGCATTGATAATGGGTTGGCCACTTAATCTGCCAGTTCCCTTGTTGGGTTCTCTGTCAAATGGGGAAGGAAGTTGCCATTTTAGTCAGTATATTCATATTTCTTCTACATTCTCATGTCTCCAGCCTTTTGAAAATTAATTCAAGCTAGCCTCAGCATCAAGCAATTTTAGCAAATATGATTGTATTTGAATCTCATTTTATCATTAAATACTTTTCTTTCCTGGTTCTAAACAGGTACGCCTGTAAGGCAGAAATTTTAGTAAAGGGAATATGAGAAATGTGAGAGCAATTATGTAGGAATTAAGAGAAAACAGAAGGGAAGTTAGTGAAGCAAAAAAGAATGCCTGTCAGCATGCTGATCACTCAGCCATCCTTGCATGCTTACTTGCCCTTTGGTGATTTGGTTATTTTGGGGTTTTATTTTGAATTCTTTTAAGGCTTCAGTTCTGTGGAGAGGAAATCTGCAGGGGCTCTTTAGAGTTTTCTTAACTCTACTTTAACTTTCCAGCTTTATTTGTGGTAGATTTTATTTTTTGACCACTTAGCATTTGTGGGTTATTTGCATACTCTTGACACAGTCTGACCAGCTCTTCGAGCTATGTAAGCATTTGCCTGCCAGGTAAGATGGGAGAGGATACCTTGACTGCTTCTGGTTAAGAATATAAAGCATTTTATAAGAGATGTAATAACTTTAAAGTTACTAAGAATTATGTATGTTAAGGTGATGTTTAAGCAAGTAAAACCAGTTTGTATTTTAAAATACATTAGATCATACGATGGAAGTGAGTGAGCTATTTTTCTGTTTGCCCACCAGATGCTGCTATAGCCACGTAAATAAATGCAGATTAAGAGATTTTTATTTTATTTATTTATTTTTTTTTTTAAAAGAGTGGTTTATTTTCATTACAGATTACCTTTACTTATCTGCTCCTGGAAAGAATTACACTCATGTGTACATTTTTGCATTGGGAATAATCCCAGTGAGTTCCATTAAGCAACTCACTCTGTGTGAAGTTAAGCATGTTTATAAGCTTTCTCAGGATGAGGCTGTATCAGTTATGTTTGCTGTTTTCTGTATTTGCTATTCTGTTTCCCCATTATGAAGCATAAGAGGGAAAGGCAGAAGAGCAGATACCATAAATTTGTGATTTTATTAGAAATGTAGTTTTTTATGCTCCCATAATGTAAAATATATCTTCTTAATTAATATAATTTTATTTGAAATTCACATAGTTTAGGTTTCTTCTTTAATTTAGTGACTCCAGCAACAAGTAGGCATCACTCCAATATACAAAGAAGACAGTAAAACATCTTCCCACAGGGCAAAGAGATGCCATCTATTAGAAGGCTGTATCTAAAATGGTACCACTTTGGCAAAGCTATTTAAACACTAATTTGCTAGTTAGTATTTTTGAAATTAAAACATTCTCAAAATGTCCTGGCTATGATTGTTTAAAAAAAAAAGTAACAGTTCATTTTCTTTATGGCAGTGGAAATAAATGAAGCCTTTGTGTTTGCAAATGTGGAAAACAAATCACTTTTTTAATGACTGGATTTTCCTGCCAGCTTGGAATTTCCCGCATGTGCGTTTTATTTTGAATGCCTGAAGAGTGAAGTCATTTGCCATCGCTCATGTAGATGGGGCTGATTGGCTGAGGTGTCATTTGCAAAATGTGCACGTTTGAGGGGGATCATTACAATGTTTCCTGTAGACACTCAGGATGGATGGAAGTGGAGGGCTGAGATTGAGTGTCCATGAGTATTGATAGCCTAGTGTCATAAAAGCCTGGACCAAAACTTGGGCGCTTTGGAGTTTCCTTCCATCTTGTTTATTTATGTTAGGAAATACAAAAATATGTCCCCAAACCAGAGAAGCTTGAATTAGCTTTCTTGATAGCAG